ATTAAAGAAACATTAATAAAGCTTAAATCACACATCAAACCCCAAACATTAATAGTGGGAGACTTCAACACCCCACTCTCACAAATGAACAGATCATCCAAACAGAAACTAAACAGAGAAATAATGGAATTAATAGACATTATGCCTCAAATGGACCTACAGATGTCTACAGAGTAGTTCACCCAAACACAAAAGAATATAATTTCTTCTAAGTGCCTCACAGAAGCTTCTCCAAAGCTGATCACATACTTGGTCAAAGCAAATCTCAACAGATACAAGAAAACTGAAATAGCCCCCTGTATCTTATCAGATCACTACTGATTAAAGCTGGATTTCAACAACAACAGAAACAACAGAAAACCTACAAACTCATAGAAACTGTTACCACTGAGCCAGGGAAGAATAGAGAAAGAAATTAAAGACTTCCTAAAATTCAATGAAAATGAATGCACAACATACCCAAATTTATGGTACACAATGAAAATGATGCTAAGAGGAAAGTTCATAGCACTAAGTGTGTTCATAAAGAAACAAGAGAGATCTCATACTAACCACCTAATAACACACCCAAAAGCTGTAGAACAACAACAAAAAGCAAACACACCAAAGAGGAGTAGATGGCAGAAAATAATCAAACTGAGGACTGAAATCAATAAAAACAGAAACAAAAAGTACAGTACAAAGAACTAAAGAAACAAAGTATTGGTTCTTTGAAAAAAAAAATAACAACATAGACAAACACTTATCCAAACTAACTAAAAGCCAGAAAGAGAATATTCAAATAATAAAATCAGAAATGAAAGGGGGTATAACAACAGACACCAAATAAAGCCAAAGAATCACTAGTCATACTTCAAAAACATGTACTCCACAAAATTGGAAAACCTAAAATGGACAATTTTCTCATTAGATACCACTTACCAAAGTTAAATCAACATCAAATAACAACTTAAATAGACCTATAACCCCTAAAGAAATAGAAGCAGTCATTGAAAGTCTCCCCCCCCCAAAAAAAGGCCTGGGGCCATATGGTTTTAATGAAGAATTTTATCAGACTTTCAAAGAAGAGCTAATATCAATACTCCTCAAAAATATTCAACAAAACAGGAATGATGGGGTTGCCCTTCTGTATATATGCTTCTTTTATTGGTTGATGAATAAAACACTGATTGTCTGATTGGTCAGGTAGGAAGTATGGGAAATGCAAATCAAAGCAACTCTGAGAGTCCATCTTATACCTGTCAGGATGCTAAGAACAAAAACACAAGTGACACCTCATGCTCCAAGGATGTGGAGAAGGGGAACACTCCTCCATTGCTGGTGGAGTGCAAACTTGTACGGCCATTTTGAAAATCAGTATGGCGGTTTCTCAGAAAATTGGGAATCAACCTACTTCAAACCCAGCTATACCACTCCTGGGCATCCAAAGGATGCTCAATCATACCATAAGGACACTTGCTTGACTATGTTCATAGCAGCTTTATCTGTAATAGCCAGAACCTGGAAACAATCTAAATGTCCCTCAACTGATGAATGGATAAAGAAAATGTGGTACATTTACGTGATGGAGTATTACTCAGCTGTTAAAAACAATGAGATCATGAAATTTGCAGGCAAATGGATGGAACTAGAAAAAAAATCATCCTGAGTTAGGTAACCCAGACCAAGAAAGACACACATGATATGTGTTCACTCATTAGTGGATATTAGTGGTAAAATAAAGGATAACCATACTATAACCCACAGACCCAGAGGGGCTAGGTGACAAGGAGGGCCCAAGGAGGGATGCCCAAATCTCCCTGTGAAGGGGAAATAGAGGAGATCTCATGGGTGAACTTGGGGTGTGTGGGATGGGAACATAAGTGGTCATGTTGAGGGTATAGAGGGGAAGAGTATTGAAAGAGACTACTTGAATGGAGGGTGCATTTTGGGGTCAGGTAAAAAAAAAAAAAAACAGCACAAGGGAATTTCCCAGGAATCTGCAAGGATGACTCCAGCTAAGACTGCCAGCAATAGTGGATATATAGCCTGAACTGGCCATCTCCTGTGATCAGGCAAGATTTCAAGTGGAGGGAGTGGGAAACTAACCCAGCCACACAACCTTTGACCTATAGCCTGTCCTGCCTATGGCATATGCTGGAGTAAGTATGGTCTAGAAATTGAGGTAGTGGCCAATAGATGGCTGGTCTAGCCTAAAACCCATGCCAGGATGAGGAGAGCCAGGCAGAGGGGAGTTGGGGGAGGGAGAATAGGAGGAGAGGAGGAAGGGGAAACTATGGTCTGGATGTAACATAAATAAATAAAGCAGAGAGAGAGAGAGAGAGAAAGAGAGAGAGAGAGAGAGAGAGAGAGAGAGAGAGAGAGAATTCAGGGGCTTCTGCTCTTTCAAGTCAAGGCTTGATTGTAAGACCTGTCTAAATATGTCCACATACCCAAAGAATCTGGAATGTTCTGGTGGGAGTTCCATCCCAAGCCCCCTCCCCTATTTCCAAACCCTTTTGCATCTCAGAAAGCCCACCAAATGATGACCCCCTCCCCCAGAGATGCTCAAGACCACTCCCACAGGGTATTTAAACTGCCCCCAGAAAATAGACTCATGGTTTTCCAGTCTCTCTTTTTCGGTCTCCTTCTCTGGGGCCTGGAAGGCCATGTGGGAGAGTTGTGGGCTTTTTCTAATTTGGCCTGATTTCTAATTTTCTAATTTGATCTGATCTGTATTGCTACATCATCTGAGAGGCTTATCAGGGTATAGAAACTTGTACCAGGGCACAAGCCAGGAGGAAAGACCTAAGTTTAGCACCTGCTTCCTCCCATCTGAAACGGAGTACCCAGCTGTGTGCTTGTGGGACTCATTCTGGCATTCCTTTCTCTTCTTTGCTTCAAGCCCTATCAAAGGCATAAATTGCCTTAACCGCCGTAATCAGTTGTTAATTTGGTCAACTTGACACAATCTAGAATCGCCAGCATGTCAGTGAGGAACTGTCTAAGTCAGGTTGGCCTGTGGGCTGATTTCTGTGAGGCTGCCTTCGTTACAATAATTGAGTGGGAAGCCTGCCCACTGTGAGCTGCACCGTTCCCTGGGTGTGGGTCTTGGACTGTGCAAGTGGAGAGGGACATGAGTGTAAGGAGCACACAGTCTCTGTTTTTCTCTCTGCTCTTTACTGTGACTGTGACTAAGTACTCCAAGTTCCTGCCTTGTCCTTGTCACAATAATGGACAAGGGATTGTTGAGCTAAGAAACTATTGCTTTTGCTACTGTGCTTTAGCATAGCTGCAAAAAAATGAAGCTAGGACCAAAGCACTTGGTAATAGGAGCCTTTGTGCTTATTTTATTTTACAGATCTAACACGAAGTGTATCTGGGCTTTACCATATCTCTCCTCTTCTGCTGTTTACTGTTGCACTGCGGAACTACCCATCCCTCTCTGAAGTCATGCAGCTGATAATTTGCTTCAAATTCATAAGGATACAGATAAGCAATAGCTGTCTCTGATAGACAGAGTCTCTTCTCTCCCCCAGAGTATGTATTCTTTATGAATATGCATATGTGGGTATCTCGGGGTGTGGGGTGTGCATGCATGTGTGTGCAAGCTCTGGAGTGTGCATGTGTTCTCAGTAGCCCCTTAGTATATTTTCCCTATGTCTAAATGTTTCCATTGGTTCAGAACATTCGTGCATGATGGCAGATCATTTTGTTGGTAAAGACCTAAGTTTAATCCCATAACCCATGTAAGAAAACTGGGCATGGTGGCATGTGGTGAACCCTAGCCAGTAAGAAGCCCTTTCCCAAAAACTAACAGACACACACACACACACACACACACACACATGCACGTCCTCGGGCGCACACACTAGTGATGATGATATTAAACAAGATGGAAGCACTGACAGCCCAGGTTGACCCCTTCACATTTACTCACCCCCATCAACCCCCTATACTCCCCCAAAATTCTTTTTATTGTGTCACTGTCTTTCCTCTGGCAAAAAGCTACTCTGATTTATTCATCTAATGCTGGCCACTTGAGCTTTTCTGGGGTGGCACAATTCTGAACCAAGCTGTTAAGAATCATTTTGTTTCCTCCTGAACCTCTGTGACTGTTTTTGGACCACAGTGTGACCTGTAGGAGACACGGTTTAGGCTCCATTTCCAGCTCCACTAATTAAGAACTGTGTGACCTTGGGCCTGCTACATGACCATTCTGTGCTTCAAAGAGACCTATTTGTAAAATGGCAGTTGCAGCGTCTACTACGGGCTGGGTGGTGGAATGGATGAGCACATAAATCACTTAGAAAAGTGCCTGGCTATACTGTGCATCAAGTGTGATTCAACCCCATCCTAGTTTCGTTTCTGTTGCTGGGATAGAATGCTCTGGGAGAAAAAAAAAAGCAACTTGGGGAAAGCATGTATTTCCGCCCACAGTTCCAAGTTTCAGTCCATCCATGTGGGGAAGTCACAGCAGCGAAAGCTTGGGACAGCTGGTCACATTTACAGTCAAGAGCAGAAAGAAGTGAATTCATGCTTGCCTGTACTCAGCTGCATCTTCCACAGTGCTTGACAGCCATCCCCCTCGTCTAGGGGTTGGCGTAGACTGGGTCTTCACTCATGGGTTAACGTAAACCAGTGTAGACAACCAAGACTCTGTGTCAGGGGGTTCTAGGTTAAGTTCACAGTTAAAGCTGTCAATACAACCCCCCTCTCCCAAGTCAGCAGAAATGGATTGGAAGTGATGACATCTTTATGTCAAGACAGCAAATTGTCAGACCAGAGAGGGCCATGTTTCTGGGAACAGTAGGGCCACTGCCTGCCCTTCCATTCCAGGAATGATAGTTGCACGGAATGGTGTGTCAGGGGCTCGTCCACCTCCCTCTAGCATCTTCCTGTCTCACAGTTCCTTGTTTCACTTCCTGACTCAGAATAGATTCAAGGAGTGAACAAGAGTGTGTGGTAAATAGATGCCATTGTCCCCAACAGTCTCCAGCACAGAAGGACCGCAGTGAAACATGGATGAGTCGGAGGAAGGGAGGGCCCAGCAGCTGGGCCACCAGGGTAAGACTGAATCTGGATTCTGGGGACTTGCAGAGGGGTTTTGTGAGGCCACCTTGAGTCTCATTTTGCCAAGGATGTGATTGATGCTCTGTCCACTCAGATGAGGAACACCTGATAACCAGCGGCACCATATACTCCATGAAAGGCTTCAGATTCCAACCACCCTATGTCCTCAAGAGGGCTACAGGTAAAAGGTGTGGGGGAAGACAGGTTTCCTCAACTGTCTGCTGTCTGTGTCGTGGGGCGTGGGGAGCATTAGGGGATGGATGCTTGGATCCCACAGACTGAGAGAGAAGGAGGATGCAGACTGAACCTCCAGGTACTGTGGAGGTAGAGACTGAGGACTGGACTCCTAGGTCCTGCAGGGTGGAGGCTGAGGACTGCACTCAAGTCTTAGGGAGGGGAGCACTAAGGGGTGTTGTGGAGATGGAGGCTGAAACTAGACCTCTCGGACCGATGGAGGTGGGAGCTGACAACTGAATTCTGGGTGCTAAGATTGCAGGGCCTAAGGCTGGACTCCTGGGTCCTGTAAGAAGTAGAGGCTAGAACTAGACTCCTCAGTTCTACTAAGCAAATACTGTGTATTCTGCAAGTGAAAACTGAGTTGTTAGAGTCCTGGGCACTTGGGATGGCCGTCTGGGAGACTGAACTCCTGGGTCCAAGGGAGACAGAGGCTCAAATGGGCCCTGAAATATTCAAGGATGGAAATTTGGGCTCTTAAGTCCAGAGGTGGTTGGGTCTGGAGGAACTGAGCTATATACTCTGGAGAAGTCTGTCCTCCTGGGTCCTAGAAAGATAGAATACAAAGCTCTGGACTCCTGGGTCCGGGGGGTAATGATGGCTGAAAACCTAGAGTAATCAAGTCTAGGGGCTGAACTCCTGGTCCTGAAGAAGGACATACTGGGATGTTCCTTAGAGATAGTGGAGAGCAATGTAAGTTCTGGAATTCTAGAGAGATGACACAGGTTTTGGAATCTTGAGTCCTACAAAGAAGAAAAATGAAGACTGGATTATCATGGAATGGTTGAGTCAGAAAAGAGTCTTGGATCCTAGGGAAGTGAGGGTTGGAACACAAGCACAGTGGATCCAGGGCGATGGGAGCTGTGCATTTGGGAAGAGAGTGCTGATGTCTGTGGGTTAAGTGAGTTGAGGACACTGTTGTGATGAAACTTCCACTTTCTCTCCTGCAGAGCACCTGTGCCATGGCCATGTTCCCTTCATCCTGCAGCTGTTCTGCCTCACACTTTCTGCTATTATCCTTCTGGCTGTCCTTGTCAAAGGTCAGGCAGGTCTAAGGGGTGGGAGCTCCCTGATGAGATCTTTCAGTCGGGTGGAAGGCCCGTGCGAGAGACAGGCTAAAGGCTAGGAACCTCCAGTAATTTCTCAGAGCCCTTCTCACCCCTGGCATAGAGGAAGGTCCTGGATCCACTTTACCCCTGGCCACTCAGTCTTCTCTGAATATCAGATTTCTTCATCCTCAAGAGGTATTAAACCAGCAGCTAGAGAGATGACTTACCATATAAAGCACTTGTCAAAGAAACACGAGGACCTGAGTTTTGATCCCAAAACACATGAGAAGCAGGACATGGTAGGCATGTTTCTGTAACCCTAGCTATGGTGAGATGGGCAGCAGAGACAGGAGAACCCTGGAAGCTTGCAGGCCAGCTAACCTGGTATACACAGTGGTGGATAAGAGGCCCTGTATCAAACAAGGTGGGGGTGAGGACAGACACCCAGAGTTGTCTATCCTGACTCCTCAGGTGTGTGCCGGCATGCCCACAGTCACTTCTAACTTTTAGAAAGAGGTGTTAAACAAGATACTTTGTTTTTTAAAAAAGTCCCTGGGGAATGAGTACATCCATGACTTATAATAAGTGTTTAATAATTGCAGATCCCTTTTCTTGTCACAGTCTCCAGTATTGCCAACTCCCGGGGACAAGAGCAAGAAAAGAAGGAGAAGATATACCATGAGATGAGCCAACTGAAGCCTCAAATAAGTGAGTGCCTGGAGGCAGGAGGTCCCAGGGATTCAAAGGCTCTTCATGTTACAAGGCTTCAGCCACCACCCATCTCCGAGCTTCCACTTCTCGTTGGTTTGATAACTTTATGTGAATGAGACAATGAGGAGGGTGTATGGCTCAGCAGTTAAAAACACTTGCCATCAAGCCTAATGTCCTAAGTCTAGTTCCTGGGAGTCCCAAAGTGGAAGGAGAGAACAGGCTCCCTCAAGTTTCATCTGACATACATGCCATGGTATGGGCATAACCATGCACATGCTCACATAAATTAGTTTATTTACTGACTGCTTAGTGGAAATTAGGCCCAATGAGCTATGTACCTGGTTGAAACTCACTTAGCCAGTCTCCGAGGTCTGTTCTGAATTCTTCTCCTAGGCTTGAGGAGATGCTGGGACTTCCAGGTTCTCTTGGGGTGAACTATACTCTCAGGGTGTAGAGGGATGACTTCCCAGCTGTGTTTCAGGAGCTCCTGCAGGGCTTGAAGGCTGGGCAGGCACAGAAACATGGGCATCCAAGTGCATGTCCACCTAACCAACCTCCCCCAACAGACCGCCTGTGCCGCCCCTGCCCCTGGGACTGGACATTCTTCCAAGGAAACTGTTACTTCTTCTCCAAGTACCAACAGAACTGGCACGAGTCTGTCACCGCCTGCAATGAAGTGGGGGCCCAACTAGTTGTCATCAAAAGTGATGATGAGCAGGTACATCTGGTGGGATCCAAACTGTTCTGGTACACGCATCTGACCACAGGCATCATCTGAGGAGATACAGTTTGCTAGTTTAGATTATAAATAAGTAGTGCTTGCTCCCCTTGGGAAAGGAAGAAGAATAGAAATAAAAAGGTACTAAGTCCCATGTTTCACACACACACACACACACACACACACACACACACACACACACACACACACCATCTC